ATTAAAAAAAAAAACTGATTGTATATTTTTTGTACAAGGACCAATAATTTTTGTCCTTAGCACATTATGAGACAAAAAATTTTAGAGTAGAGGTGCTGTCAAATCGAGTTGAACTCGGGTAACTTCATACTTGAAATTGAACTAGAATGATATGAATGCTACTCGAAATTGAGTTCGAGCTTGAACTCCTCAAACTCGACTAGAGCAAGTTGCAGAAATACTCGAATTTGACTTAATAAGATTCAAAAATAATGCCAACCCTGTGTTAATCATTTCGCATATATATTTAAATTATTTAATCCAATATTTGATAGAACTTGTCAGCCCTCAAATACTTTATTTTTATGCTTGAAATTGGCTTCATAATACTTTCAATAGCTTGAGCTTAGCCAAAGTTAATTCGAGTTGAATTGTTGACCAAGCAGTTCGCAGACTCGAATCGAGCTCTTTAGTCCAGCGTTACAACTCGATGAAGAGTGACCATCCATGTCACTCATCCAGGGAATGCCACGTAATTTCCCAACATTGACATCAGCATTCCCGCCTATTTTCTTTTTCCCGCCGAAATTATTTTTTTAATAATAGCTTCCACGTTCGACAAAAACCACCAGCCACTTCCTCAGTTTCTCTCCAAGTACCAACAGAAGAGAAAAGAGCCCTAATTAAAGCATTTCTGCGTCTTCTTCTTCACTCTGTTGTCAGTGTGTGTTGTGCGTGTTTTTCTTCGTGTTTTGTGAACAATTGAGGTCATAGAAATGGCCCCTCAAAAGTTGACAGAATACGAGAGACGGAGACTCGAAAACATCAAGCGCAACGATCAAATGCTTGCTGCTCTGAAGATCCACTCTAAACTCTCCCAACTCTCTGAATCCACCAAGCGCCCGAGGTTTCTCTCTTTCTTTTTCTTGGTTGGTAACATACAAATTGTATGTGTAATTTTATGTTCAGGGATATGATATTTTGTGATTGGAGATGTGTAAATTTTTGTATTTAAAGTTGATTATTAGCCCTGTTGGAAAGTGGAATCCTTTGTGAATTGTGTCTACTTTGTTTTCGTGTGTGAGTATCTCCAATTTTTTTCTTTTTAATTTCATATTTTTTTTATTTTGGGTATTTTGCTGGCTTTTATAATTTCTTCAGTGCTGTTATATATCATAATTTTTTTCCCTGGCGGGGAAGATGGGGAGGGAGAGGAGTCTAGGGGGGAATGGTGACAGTGAGAATCGTATGACACTTGATAAAGGCCCTTATCATAGTTGTTTTGTTTTTTGTCTGTGTGTTTGAAAGAGAGAGAAAGGGGGGGGGGGGGGGGAGGAGGGGGCATTTTAGAAGTTGTAAAGTTGCAAGTTCTTATGTCTGAATATGTTAATGATTTTTCTTCTTTGATGAGATGTTTTGAATTAATGTACTACTAATCTTGTTATGTATTCTCTCTTTGTTTGCAATTTCAGAGCTCAAACTAAGTCTTACAAAGTGAGCCCTGAGAAGAAACACAGAACAGAAACTCCAATAGTCCTTCGCAGGTCTCTCAGGACTCGAGGAGTGGCACCAGATTCCTCGACTGCTGGTGGCCTTAAAGATGATTTCGATGAGAGCCAAAGTTCTATATCTAGGAAAAACCCCAATTCAGATTCGGAATCCCCATTAACAAAAAGAGCTTATGAAAGAGGGCCTATCAGGATGAGAGATGCTTATAGAACAGATGCATCTGATAGAAAACTCATTGAGGCAATACTGGATTGCTCGAGAAAATCCAGATTGAGTGAGAGTAATAATGAACTGGATGATACAATTAAGGGAATGGAAGGAAATGAGCGCTTGGGTAGTTTGAAAATAGGAAGAAAGGTATGGGGTTCCATTGACGTCGATGCAATGAAATTGGAACCGGATAATATTGCACGTGTGGTGCCAGGGAGAATACTGAATTTAAGGTTTTTACCAACTACAGACGCTAGAATAGTTGTTGTGGGCAACAAGTTTGGTGATGTTGGCTTTTGGAATGTTGATGCTGACGCTGAGGATGGGGATGGGATTTATCTGTATCATCCTCATCCAGCGCCAATCTCGGGGATGGTGTGTAATCCATTTTCTTTATCAAAGGTACAGATACACTTATTTTGCATGAATGGTAATTTTGTAATTTCAATATTTTACAGTTTATCCTTTTCACATGAACTATACTGGTGCCACTGCCTGACTTCAATGGTATTTCTGACCTGATATAGTCTAAAACCTATCTGCACAACCAACTTTATCTTAATGTTGGAACCACAGAAAAAGGGAAAAAAAAAAAGCACAAAGGAGAAAATTTTTGTTTTAAGGATATAGCTGCTGTCATTTTAAGTTTCATCCTAATAAGACATTTTGGCATCTGTGTTCTTAATCAGGAAGTAGTATACTTTCATGCATGTACTCCTATTAAAAATAGTTGGCATGTATGTACATTTTGATAGAATTTGCCTCTGCTTGGTACTATGTTCCTGTAAGTGCTAGCTTATGATGATTGTGGTCATTTGATCTTTCAAGTGCATTGCTTTCTGACAACAGCCCTATGTATTTCAATGCAGATGTTCACTTCTTGCTATAATGGTTTTATAAGGTTGATGGATATGGAGAGAGAGTTATTTGAATTGGTGTATGCTGGTGATCATGCTGTATTTTCTCTTTCTCAAAGTCCAAATGATATGAACTCCTTGTACTTTGGTGAGGGTAATGGACAACTTAGGGTATGGGATGCAAGAACGGGAAAATCTTCATCCTCATGGGGTTTGCACCAAAAAAGGATCAACACAATAGACTTTAAGCCACAGAACACAAACATCATGACAACAAGTTCAACAGACGGTACTGCCTGCATTTGGGATTTGAGAAAAGTTGGTGTTAACGGGTCAACAGCTTTGAAGAGTATTAGGCATGAAAGAGCTGTGCACTCAGCTTATTTTTCACCTTCTGGAAGGTTCCTTGCTACTACAAGGTGTGTTGTAGTTGATTTTAATAAGAAAAAAGTTTATGGATTTAATGCACATTGAAAAAATGTTATAATGCTTAGTTATGAAGAGATGTCTTTGGGGCTTAAGGCATTATAAGCTTAAGGCATTATAAGCATGGCAAGAACTCTCCAACTTTTAGTGTATGTTGATTGGCGGTTTGTGGGGTTCATCCATGCATCTATGTCTCTCTTAATTGTCTTTGAAAGTCATTCATTGAGTTCTCCTCGTATTGAATAAAATCACCTATTACTTTCTGGTATATTTTCCTGTTTGAGTTAATCGCCGATGACTTTCTGGTATACTTTCTGGAATTAATCTTGTCTTGGTATTCTTTCCAAATGTACAAGCTTGGCATTTCAGACTTAGTGTTCCATACATTCAATCTCTTCGCTCAGAAACATTGGCTTTTTTCTTAAGATAGATTGTCTGCTGTAAAATTTGTCTGGTTTGAGATGCACAGTAATTCTTGAACCTCAGTTTCTGACTTGGAAACATGCTTGATATTTCTGTTTGTCCGTGCAGTGCTGATGATATGGTTGGCTTATTTAGTGGAGATACCTATCAAAACATGACAATGGTATACCATAACAACCAGACAGGCAGGTGGATTTCCTCCTTCAGGTAAAATTGTCCGTTTAAGAACAATGCTGTTGTTTGTTTTGCTGGCTTTTGAACTAATAAGTTGTTTCCTTGAATTGGAAGAAGTAGTCTATGAATCAAAGTGGCTGTATTCTTGATTAATAATGCCTCAAATAGATTGCTTACCATATGGATTTATCTTTCAAATTTATTCTCCTGTGTCTAGATAAATTCTGTTTCTTGTAGCTGTCTCTAGGAAGAAAACTGTACATTTCTCATTTTGTTAGGTTTGTTCAATAGACATACTCACAGCCTCTGTCCCAGTTTCATTGCACACTGCCCCCCCCCCCACCAAAAGTATTTACAGGGAATGCATGTGATATGTTTTAGTTTCTCTTTGTTGAATTATTTGGATATATATGTGCGCATTTTAAGTTGCCAACCTTTATTTTGGCTGTCTCAGTTAGAAATATATTTGTAACTTAAATTGGTTTTTCAGTCTTTGACATGCTTTGATGGTCTTATGGATCTTGTGGATAGCCATTATGCATTGCCATATCATAGGATATTATTTTTACTTATTGTGCGCAAAATGGTGTTGATACTTAAGTTTCCATTCTTGATAACAATGATACCCTAACTACGAGTCTCTTTTGTTTGTTATTTCCACTTCGCAAAACAGGGGAATATGGGGGTGGGATGATTCTTATGTTTTCGTGGGGAACATGAGAAGAGGAGTTGACATAATCTCCACCACGGGAAAAGATGTTACTGCAACTTTACAAAGTGAACACATGTCTGCAATTCCATGTCGATTTGATGCTCATCCATTTGAGGTTGGGACGCTGGCTAGTGCTACAAGCGGGGGTCAGGTTTATATATGGAGGCCATCTTGATGAATGAATCCTTGTTTTGCTAGTTTGTGCTGGAGATGGTTTTCACTTGCCAAGTTTATCTGTTGTACATGTATCCTCGTTAGGTAACTTCCTGTGCATCTTTTGCTGAAAAAGCTTTTAGTGGTGGTGCAATGATCTTAACATTTCTTGGAATGTAAAGCCATTTCGACTCTTAATGCTGGAATTAGCAGTTTGCATTTTGGGTCCTTTTGGAGTTCTCACATGTAATAGTAAAGCATTCAGTATTTTATCCTTTGGTTGGCCTTGCCATTCAACTGATAGTGTTCAATCAACCATCATGCTGGCATTCGAACATGTCGTCACGCTACCACTCCACATTCAGTTTCAGTTGTTGGATTTGCTCCGCCCTGTTTTATAACATTGATGGTGCAGTTTGCAGGGTGAATCTAAGGTGGTCTTGACTTTAGGACCATACACCATCAGCAAAAGAGATGTCTTGAAGCATAAGCACTAATTAACTTGAAACTTTTATTTGCAAGGTCCGGGCAAGGTGACATGAGTGACAATCTTTGGATTCATTCAGAAGTGGAAGCAGATATTATTGTCATTATCATTTTACGCTCAAGACTCATGCTTTAGTGTTTTGAATAGCCTTTGCTCCCGTAATATGGGGAAAATCCAAACCCCAGGCATTAGCTGAAAGCAGTTGCTCGGACAGAAATGTCCTCTTTACAATATATTCAGTTGAAATAGTTTAGACTGAAGACATCCTCTGTATGTTATTGCTTCATCTTTTGCTTCCAAAGAAGCAACTCTGAAGGGATTGAATGTTCACTACGTGAAAGTACGGCTTGTGCCATCAATTTACCAAGCCACGCATGATAGAACAAGCCCCTTGAACCAAGCCCGGTAAATACCCAATATTTACAAGCATGATTTCGACCTGTGACATTATCTACGCAACCCAGAATTGGCAACGATCCATGAGGGGTGAGTGGTGGCATTGCCCTTAGTCCTGCAACTGCTTCTCTGACTGTCCAGTTGCTTATAGCAGGATATATAACAGATCCCTTTAATAGAAGTTCTTCTAAGGCTTCAGAAGCTTCTACAGTTGGGACATTCCTTGAGTAATTTGCAGACCTCCATTCCCATGTTGAGCCCAAATACAGATCTCGAGGACCCTGTACAGCAATCCAGGCATCTGAGAGGATTGAGGGACTATGCTGCGGATATTCTTCTCTGATAAAAGAGAAATACATGTACTTTCAGAGATATTATCGATTAAAGAGACGTGAAACACAATGCTTGGTTGATGTTTAAGGCAGTATATCTGAAACCGGCCAAGAGTGTGATATTATGATGCAAAGTTTTTTGTATCCATATAGGCTGGGTGATACGGGGGAAGGGAGTGTAAGTGAGAGATCCCGGATTCGAGACCTCCTACTGACGCTTTAAAAAAAAAAAACCTTCATCCAAATCTTAACATTAAAGAGAGAACAAAGAGAAGTTAGTTCACCAATTTACTCGCATCTTTATAAAAAATTAACAAGTTATGCTTTTCTACTAATTGTAGAAATGTTTCGTTTAACTACTCATCTAGACAAATTTTTTGATACACTGGAGGAAATCAAAAGAAAATGGGAAAAAAACATATAATTGCATGATTAAGCTTGGTGCTGCAATAATTCAAAGAGTCGTAAACAGTATATATAATGTGGCGTGTCACAAACTTTTGTTGAAGCAAAGAGCATTCCACATTTGGCTCCTAAATTTTACTTGTATAGGATGCACTAGTTACTCAGGTTTTCTCCCAATATCACAAGATAAGTGATTTTCTGCAACCATAATTATTGGATATTCACAATATTAAATTTGCAATGTTGAACCGACTGGTCTCTGAAAGTTTTATCAGTTGCTTAGAATAATAAACTAGGTGAATATGAGTTATTTGAGCCTCAAAGGTACCTGAAATTATCAGAAAGCTGCATGTGTGTAACAACACCTCTACATGTTCTCAAGGGAAGTATTCCAGAAAACTCTGGCAGAAAAGCTGCTCTGGCACCAAGACAAATGACCACAGCATTATACTCCCCTGAAAAGAATATGTTTATCAAATTTCTCATCTAATCATGCTTAGTTCTCTACAAGCAGTTGACTTATTCTGTCGAACCCAGAATAGCTCAGCTGCTTCTCACATATCAATGAGGAATAAGCTCTCAGTGACAGCATATACTTGAAGAGCCAAAGACTCTTGTCCAAGGTACTGAATCCCTCATGGAGATTAATGCTAGATATGTGCATCTTAGTCACAAGGAATTCAAGTGAAGGACTTTGTAATGCCAGTATCCAGCATTCACAAAACTTGTGCAATGTAACTGATATTAGTTACAATTGATTGATAACATCTTTCATGCATTTGTAGGACTCAATTAGCAGGAGATTATTAGGAAGGAAAGCATCATATGCTAACAGTCATTATGATAGTCAAAGAGCAAGAGTTGTGGAATGAACAACAAATGTAGTGATCTAAACAATGGTTATGAAACCAATGCAAGGAAACTTCATCAGAAACAAGGTGGAAAGAAGGGAAGATAAGGGAGGGAGAAAGGAGGATTAGATATATCTCTTTAAAAGAAAATGTTTGCAAAGCTGGTGCAGGGATCATATAGGCTTTAACCACCAGGAAAAAAGGGAGTTAATGTAATCTTATGGTATGCATAAACTTAAAATGCCATTCTTCAGAATTTCAGCATACCTCTCTTTTTAAGGCAACAATTAATAGAAAAAAAGATCCACAACTTCTTACCTGCAAATTCAAGGAGACTGCCAACAGATGTCTTGTAGAAATTCAGTTCTCTAGGCGCAACACCAAGATTCAACATTTCTGCGACTGAATTTTGACAAGCTAAGTAAAGTGCCTGTTGAAGTATTCAAAATAAGTAGTTCTTAACAAGTGCAGGGAGAGATCCCAATTATACAGATTACAACCACTCAAACTCTTTTCCAGACCTCAAGATAGTACTGAGAGTGAACATTTAAAGCTTCAGGCATATGAAAGGCCACATTGAGTGGCACAGACAAACCAGGCACAAGGTTTTCTGCAGCATGCTTGTCCATTGACTCTATTCTGCAACTGGCAAGGCAGTTCTCAGCATTCTACTAATAGAGGGCAATAAAAGTATATATTATTACATGTAGTACCTGAGATACAAAATACAACATATAATCTTGAAAACTTACATGGTCCATTATGTTTATGTTCTTTAAACTGACAGCTGGTCTCAGGATCCCTCTGATGTAAAACTTCAATAGTTAAGAATTTCTTGCTTCAATATAAGTATTTGCATTCAGATAAAAAAAAACCGAAATTCGCTCCAGAAAAAAACATAGAACAAAAGTAAAACATCATAGATAATTATTAATATCTGAGGTCACATTAAATTTTGGCTCCTACATTAAGCTCAAAAGAGAGACATAGAAACCAAATTCAGGATACAAATCACCAAGAAGCAGTATCCTTCAGCTCAAAAAGCAAAATTTCGTCATACAACAGCTATTAATTGGTTATATAAATCTAGAGAATTGCTGTTTCAAGAGGGTTAGCAATAATGTGTTTAAGCTTGTAGTCCAATTTGTTACAGTTAATACGATACTAAAGACACCCTATCAAGTTAAAAAGAAAGGAATACTAGTATTACCATGAACTCCTAACTCTATCCAGTATTTGAATGGATATGTTGATGGATGGCTAATTGAATAAAGTACCTAAGCAATCAGGTAGTTATCAAGCCAACAGCAATCCCTCTGGGTCCAATTACAGAATCCTTCAACAGTTTGAAATTAAGCCTATTGATCAACTAGTTTCTGGATGGTGAATGGAATCAATGGAGCACACTAAGCAACACGTCACTACACCCCTGTGAATATTGTGATAGCAGCATAATAAAATTTGTCTTCTTATATCGTAGTAGTTAAAAAAGGTTACAGAACTGCAGATGAGACACATCCCAGAATTTCATATGATATAAGAGAAAGGACCAACCGTCTCCTGATAATAGAAAAATTCATACTGTGAACAGCTTCTTGTCTTCCTGTGTTCAGCACCTTGGACTGTTTAGCACGCTCTGCAATGCGTATGAGCTTTAAACTCTCATTCCAGCACTCCTCAGCTCGCCAGAGAAGCTTAACTGACAAAGTGTACCAGCCCAAAAAAAGATGTCAGTCTTCAGAATTTAATCTTTTGAATCATCAATAAAATGAACAGGACGGGGGAATTTAATATAAGATGACTCAAAAGAAAACCAAGTCAAAACAAACCTTTAGGAGAATACGGGTGGAGAAGTCCACCAGCCACTCCTGATGCACCCCCACCGATACCAACTTCATCATATATGTCAACTAACAAAGGCAAATCCCTGGAGCCGTGCTGCAAAATAAGATATTACAGCAACAGATAAAAGCAATTCAAAGTAGATTAAAACGGGAAGCAAGAAATGTCACGAACATTTATATTCATCCTTCGGATAATATGCATCCTTTCATCTTTCACTCACAATCACCAGGCAGCACCAAATTATAAAACAAATGCACAATGAACCACTAGTAGACTTGACTACATACACATGAACAAAGACGATACCTGCAACAAATGCCAAGCAACAGAAAGCCCAGCAAAGCCAGCACCAAGAACGGCACACCTGTAACTTTAGCAGTGAGAAGTAGAGCGCAAAAGGAAAAAAAGTGAATCTTTAATAGTCTTACGTTTCCCCCACTTGCTGACCTGAGAGGCTGCTGAGGGAGCGAGGAAGAAAAGCGAAGGAAAGTGGAAGACGAAGAAGAAGAAGGACAAGAAAGGAAGATTGGTGGAAGGGGTTTTCTGATGCTCCATAGAAATGAACTAGCGAGCGTTGGCGCTGATGATGATGATGGAGATGCTACAAATTGACAAGAAAACATGGATTGGCAGTGCTTCTGGGTTCAAAATTATTATGCTTTTCCTTCCTTTTTTTTTTTTTTTTCCCCCTCTTCTTTGGCTAAATTTGGGAGTTTTAGGATAGAAAAGAGAAGAAGGGAAAACTAAAGTTATATGAGAATAAAAAGAGAAGAGTTTTAAGAATTAATGGAATGATTTTGGATATGATTATTAAATATTTGTTCAAGATAATTTTAAGAATAAAATAAGTATTTTAAAAAATTTTCATAAGTTTTCTCCAACTTTCTCTGCATTTCTTTTCAATTTAGGAGCAAAAATTTTACCTACTATTCATTCTCTTGAATCTTTCTATTTCTTTCCTACTAAAAACTAACAAATAAAGGAAAATTAACTTTCTCTTCTTTTCCTTTATTTTCTGTCCAAATCCTCCGCTCCCAAACGAAACCTATCATTGCAAAGGAAAGTTGGGATTAAAACTTTTTATAGATTGGGCAGCCACTTTTTGGAGCTTTTGTTAAAATATATCTATATATATATAGGGGATAATTGCAGAAACCTCCCCTGAGATTTCTGATATTTGCACTGACCTCCCCTCTAGGTTTAGAAATTGCATTCACCTCCCCTGAACAGTAACAATTTGTTGCAGAAACTTCCCTGACAGCTTGATGTCCCATTAAAAAATTATTTGTAGAAGTGAAATAAAACATTTCTTCCAATTTTGCCCTCATCTTGCTTGACAATTATTATTTGCTTGACAATTGCTTAACTAATTATCTAATTAGTTAATAGTTAAGTTAATTAACTATTAACTAATTATCTAATTAACTATTAACTAATTAACTAATTATCTAATTAATTAATTAACTAATTAACTAATTTCTATTTATCTAATTTACTAATTAACTAATTATCTAATTAACTAAAGCTGTTGTCTGTCTGAAACTAACAAACTATTTGCATGTTAAACTATATGCAGTACGCATTACCTATTTAAAGTATCGGCTCTTTATGGGTATTTTATTTTCAAACATTTAATTTATGATAAAAACATCTATGTTTGTAAGTAAAATTTCAAAAGTGTTATAGTAATATTCTTACAAAAAGGGTGGGGCATGGGGTCATAAATTAAATATTTAAAAGTAAGAATATTGATATTTTTTGTAACACTTTTTGAATTTTACTTACAAATATTGATATTTTAATCATAAATTAAATATTTGAAAGTAAAATACCCATAAAGAGCTGATACTTTAAATAGGTAATGCGTACTGCATATAGTTTAACATACAAATAGTTTGTTAATCAGTTAGTTAGTTAATTAGTTAAGCAGTTAATTAGTTAATTAGTTTAACATGCAAATAGTTTGTTAGTTTCAGACAAACAACAGTTTTAGTTAATTAGATAATTAGTAAATTAGATAAATAGAAATTAGTTAATTAATTAATTAGTTAAGGAGTTAATTAGTTAATTAGTTTAACATGCAAATAGTTTATTAGTTTCGGATAGACAACAGCTTTAGTTAATTAGATAATTAGACAAGTAGTTAATTAGATAAACAAAAATTAGTTAATTAGTTAATTAATTAATTAGATAATTAGTTAGTTAATTAGATAAGCAGTTAATTAGTTAATTAGTTTAACATGCAAATAGTTTGTTAGTTTCGGACAGACAATAGCTTTAGTTAATTAGATAATTATTTAATTAGTTAATTAGATAAATAGAAATTAGTTAATTAGTTAATTAATTAATTAGTTAATTAGTTAATTAGTTAATAGTTAATTAGTTTAACTATGCAGAAATAGTTTGATTAGTTAATAACTATTAACAATTAGATAATTAGTTATTAGTTTAACTATGTAGAAATAGTTTGATTAGTTAATTAGTTAATTAGATAAAATAGAAATTAGTTAATTAGATAATTAGTTAATTAGTTAATTAATTTAACTATGCAGAAATAGTTTGATTAGTTTAATTTGTTTAACAAATTAAACGTTGGTTTTGATGAAAGTACTCAAACCTTTCATCTGGTGAAGTCAAATCCAATAGGGGTACTCTAGTAATTTCACACATTTTTACCTTTTAAATTAGTTCCAACTGTTTCTAGGGGAGGTTAATGCAATTTCAAAATTGATAGGGGAGGTTAGTGCAAATGTCAGAAATCTCAGGGGAGGTTTCTGCAATTATCCCTATATATAAAATATATATGAGATAAAAAAAATTGTTAAAAAAATATAATATTGAAAAGCGTAAAAAATTTTTGAAGTAAAATTGCAATCCAAACACGATTCTGTATTTATTTGCTTAGACAGCTGATAACTATCTAATTTATAATTATAAGTTGAATACTTTGTTTTTGGTTTGATAGTTCTGAATTCAAGTGCATATCTATTGAAAAAAAAAGGTGTAGGAGGGGAGGTCACACACATCATACAAAACCAATTTTCCTAAGATTTTAAAACTTAAGTGATTAAATTAACTTGTTTTGATAGTTTCGAATTTAAAAAAAAAAAAAAGGAAAAAAAAACAAGTGTATAAGGTCGCATACATTGTAGAAAACTAATTTACCTAAGATTTTAAAACTAAAGTGATTAAAAAGTTAACTTATGGCTCATAAAAATTTTTAAATTATGTAATCTGATCATATTTTGTGGCTATATATCTTTCCTACAATTGTGTAGAAAATTAAATTGTAAGCCATATTTTGTAACGGTGCATCTCTTACAATATATGCACATGCTTAAAAGAAAATAGATTGATCAAAATTCCAATTGAAAGTATATACACATGCATCCCAAAGTTCACCATTGTTGCTGTAATTTTAATCTTTCTTCCGTTTCCTTTCTTTGTCAAGAGGACTGCCTAGGATACTCATCTTTTGGTACTTTGATAGAAGTGTTCAAAAGAGTTCATCTGCAATCCAAGTCCCAACTAATGGTTGGATTAAACTTCTCACGGAAACCAAATACAACACCAAATTGAGGACAAATATGGATTGATAATGGTGGATGCTATGGGTTATTTTCTGTTTACTCGGTTAAGTGTCAAATGGCAATCAAGAGTTCCAGCTCAGTGAGTACATGCAAAAGCTACAAACAGTTGCTAGTGATGACCAACAAAACACTAAGCTTTACGAACAATCAACCGCCTTTCTCGTTTATATTCAACTTCATCTCTTTGATGCATGATCAGCAAAGCTCTTCTTACCTGCCATATGTCAGTGAATTTTATATAGACAAGACAAAATGGAATAACTAATCTTGAAGATGAAAAGGTTCAAGAACTCACAATTGATTCATTCATGCCCATCCTGGTAAGCTCGTCAATTAGCCGTCTCTCTGATATATGGCTTCCAATTCCCATTCTTCTCTTTATCTGAGTTTCAGCTTGCTGTTTAATCACAAGAGGGGATGGCATCAATTCGCGGACGTAGAGTAAGTGTTGGAAAAACACAGGCAAACTGAACCAGAGGCAAACCTTTATCTCATTTGCCATCTCAGGTGTAAGATTTATATGTTGGTTTATTCCGGATCGTGCAGCATCCATTGTGGAATTGTTGAAAAGCCGAAGAGCTTCTGAGACATGGTTCTCATTTGCAAGATAGGACCTGAAAGTATAGAGCAAACCCCACATTAGATGCAAAAGTATTAACAATAATAACAAAGCAAAAAAACCCCATTAAAAGCAACTATTCTCAAAAACAGGAAAATTCTGCCAAGGTAGCTAAAACTTGGGCCAAGAATCTCTGCAGAGAATCCTTCGAGAGATGCACCCTGATCTCTAACTGGATCGTGCCACAAAAGAGAAAAGTTCCAGATTACTTGGACATATTGCAACTAAAGGAGAAGTTCCTTATTACACATTCATAAAGCTAATACCGTATCTTGACTGACTGCAATGCAGAATGAGAACCCTTTGGCTTGCCAACTTGGTTCCTTGACATGCATAGAATTCAGACAATGTAGCTAGCAAACATATTCAAGTGCATTTCTGCACACAATATTGGTGTTTAAGCAGAAGTAGTTCAATTTTATGTCAACACCCCATGCCCAGGGCAGCTATGGTAAAGACTGGACCACGCAATGCAGAGATTCCAATATTCAGTTCTAGAAAGATCTTGATCAGTTTGATAAAATTTGAAACATTGGACCAGGACAAAGAGATGTTGAATCTAAAGCCATCTAAACTACAGAGACTCCTGTTTTGCCGTGTGTGCATGCAGATTGTAGACTAATGCTTCATTTGAAAAACCAGCAATGACAAGACAAAGTAGACAATAAGAATACTTCTGCACATATTACTTTGAATTGGAGCATGGGACATGCAAACAGCTTTCAAAAGCAATTGCTCCTCATTGCACACACAATAAGAAACACAGAATTGCCTCTTACACATAATCCCCTCTCATCCTCCATAAGGAACCTTCAACTGTTTGTTGGTGCAAATACTGTACAGGCAAATACAGTCCCTCAACATATTTGATGTCCCAGAATTTGGATGATGAGAGTTGTGTCCACAAAATAAGCATTGACTCTTTGATTTATGCATTCATCAAGCAAAGAAACCATTACAGATAGGATATTCATTTCCTTGAACTTACAGCCTCATTCTTGCGAGCGCTTCACTCAACCTCACTACAGCTTCCAGCTGCCTCACAGTGATAGGTATTGCAGCTGCTTCCCCAGTTTCATTTGCTTGCCTCCTCATATCCTACAAGATAAAGAAAAGCAAAAGCAAACAATGAAAAACAATCTAAATATCATTATCTAAATCTCTGAGACTTGGGGACCTTGAGCGGTAGGATTTGTTTGCCAATCACATTTCAATGAATGTTCTCTCAGAAGCCCTTTCAGTGAGAGTAACCAAGTCTAATTTTACTATGCTCTCTTATTTTTCTTATTCACACTTTATCAGAAAATAACTCAAGTCTCAATATTATGAAAGAACAGCTTTACTCTTGTAGAGTGACACGAGGAACTTGTTGCACTGACTTAAACTGATACAGTATTTCTATGTGCTCAGTTTTAAACTAAACAACCAAACCCATGTCTCAAACTACATTGTCTGAGTTTCTAGAATCAGAAAAATGTCTTCTA